GTTAACACCCTAAAATTACATACCAGGAACTATGAAAGATGGTCTCTGATATGGTTAATCACAAGTAATTTATTAACACTGGTCTCATAATAGAAATGCCAAATGAGACTACAGTCAATAGTCCCTACAAACAGCACTAATATTTCAGTCACCTAAAAAACAGATGGTTGATTATTTCTGTTTGTTTTATGAATACATAAAATAGTGCATACAATGGTAGCTAACTTTGCTTTACAAAATTCAATGGAAAAATGACCAAAAAGCAAGAAACATACTTCTCTTTCACAAATTCCTAAATTTAAAAAGGGGAGAGAATTCACTTCACAAAACAGCCTAAGACATAGGTTGAAAAGCTGACTAACATAAATCTAATCAGATAAATCAGGCCCTTAAATATACTTCAGGTCTCCTATAAGTAGATGAGCATAAAAATATAGGTTGCTAAGTCTCAGTTGTACTGTTTTATTTTTACCCTTGTCTTTACAAAAATTCTGATCCAAACATCAAAATATAATTACCCCAATATATCTAATAAGCTGATGTTACATTGAGGCTTATTCGTTACTTTATTAGGATTCTAAATAATATATTTTATTTGAAGATTCGTGTTTCTAACATGTAAAAACATTATTTAAAACATTTTTTTCTAAACAGGGGGGGAATCCTTTATAAGTATAGTAATGAAACTATTCCAAACCAAGGTAAACTTTTCATCCTTTCTCAAAATAAATTCTTAGATATAAATTATGATTTATTTATCAGAGAAAAAGGTACAGTGCCAGTATTCTGCTCTGTGTGTGTATATATGCGTCTCCAAATGATGATGGCTCAGAATTTTTAAAATAAAGCAAGTGAATTTTGAAAGAAGAAAAATACCCAAAGAAATATGGTTAGGGAAAACTCGTTTACTACTGTCTCTACTTAGACACATACATATAACCTCACAAGGACAAGAGAGTGTTGACCTAGAATTCACATTACGTTCACAACTCCAAGACTACATGTTAACAAAACAATTACCTACCAGTGTACTATGAAATGTTTAATTTACAAAAGTTCCTAAAGCATTGACAAAGTCTAAAGAAAATATGACTAGGTTCAAGTTTAGTAAATCCTTGATGAATTAGCAGAGATATTACTCATGCTAAGAAAATAACTCTTAAAATCGATGATACTCAAACCTTGGCAGAAATAAAGCACCAAGTAAATGGAATTAGCATTACTGAAAATATGATTATACTGGCTGTATATTATTTTATTATTGCATCCATAATGCCAACTAGGAGACACATTTAGTTATTCTAGCATCATTTTGGCACATAAATCAGTCCCAGAACTTTTCAAAATACATAGGGTTTAAAAGAATATTCTGTTGAAGGCATCAAAGTGTTACAGCATGCTTCAGATGAAGAGGCAAGTTCTTAGTATTGTCATGTCTATCTTTATCAGCATAGATACTAAGGGAGAATGTGAATAGTTTTATTGCCAAATCTTCTTTTCTCTCTCTCTCTCTCTCTCTCTCTCTCTCTCTCTCTCTCTCTCTCGTTACTTAAAAGCTTTCTACAATCTTAAAGAAATTAAGGACAAATAACTATATTAACTTTGATTTGTATTTTTATTACTCAAAGTTACTTAGTAACATTCCAATTTAGAATGCAACATAATATTAAAAGATTAAAAGGATAATTCTATTAATCACACTTTTAGGTAAAACTTAGGCAAGTTTTCAAATTTTAGAAACATAGTTGATGCATGTAGGCTAATGTCTTATAAGGTATTTCTCTTCAGACTAATAGTTCTCAGTTACTATTTCACAGATTTGTGCCATTTCAGCATATAAAATCAGTTTAGTTCCTGCCCAATAAATACTGGTAACTAAAAAGTTAGAAGCATTTGAAAATTAAATATCCACTTACCAGAAATTACTATCAGGAATATCGTTTCTAACAGTAAAATTATTCTGACACCAAATAAGTTTAATATTTTTCCTGCAATCCCAAATTTATAGATGCTTATTGTACCAATGGACAAGTAATGATGATATTCAAGGTAGCAGATACATTCCCATCAGCTACACAAGGTAACACAACTTACACAAGAAAATACTTAATCCCTGTTATTAGGACCTACTTGATCCTAATTTTACCTAACTAAATACAATTTGAAGTTCAACCTATTAGTATATACTCAAACTTATTTACTTCATTGAAACATCGTTTCCATTCTCATCAGTTTAATATATCTACTAAACTTTTCTTCTAAGAGAAAAATTTTAAAATCTATTCAAGTTGCAATTAATATGATCGACTTAGTCTTTTGATTATCTTCTTTTGGTTTAACAAAATCTTGATACTTTCTACATAGACCCAAAGTCATGGTTAACTTACGTTACAAAATGACAGCATATAGGAAAAGAAAAAGTACAACATTGAATTTATAAAGTGTAGTAAACTTATGCAAATTTTATGAAATAGTCTCATAAAATCTGTGATAAACTCTTGGTTCTTATTTTCAAATTACTTATTTTGCATTTGGCCCTTTTCAAATTACATCCAAGTTCACTTTCCTTAATACATAAAAAAAGTATCATCTAATTCAACATTTCTCAGTTAAAACTGCCTACCACTACCTACTTTCTAAATTTTACTGTACTAACATACAAGACAAATGCCTCCATAAATTCCTAAGAATATTAAATGTTAGGGCTAAATTTCTTGGTGGTAAGAGGTGTACAACATTCTTTTGTTTGGACTTTATCAAACTGATAATGATCAAATAGAAAGGCATTCCCACATCTTCAAATTAACATACTGACTTAAGAATACTCTTAGTATTTTTAAGAATTACAGGTTAACTTGGGCAGGTTTAAAACTACCATGACATCCTAAGCAGAAGAGCTTTCTTCAGGCAGGGCAAATCTATTAAAAAATATGACCTGAGACAAAAATCAATGTGTTAATCTCAAACCAAACAACAGTATCAAAAGCATAAAATAGAGATAACCTAAGATAAAATGTCCTTAAACTAACTCAGACTAGTTTGACAAGTTAAGAAGTGGGGTTGGAGTAGGAGTGTTATTGGTTTTTTCCATTTTAAAATGGTGGGGGGAGTGCTGAAACACCCATATATCCAAATAAATGAATACCACGAGAAAAAAATCACACTGTGAAGTTTGGAGTTACAACCAAGAGCAAAATGTCCCAAAGACAACTAACTGACTCACTGTTGCTTTATTTAATAAGACACTAAAGTTTGGAAATATAAATTATTTTCCTATATGCTGTCTAATAAGGCCCAAAAGGGAATAAAACCGACCAACATAATAAGACTTGCTTTTAACACCATCACAACTGGAAAGCTTGCTCTATTTGTCTTGTCAGCTTTAATAAAAGGCATCTCCTCTAGCAGGAAGACTTCTCTTTCTCTTTTCCTAATAGTGGTAAGTGGCATGTCAAAGAAGAAATAGCTTCCAATTCCACCACCCACCTCCATAAGACTCTTAAAAAAAAACCAAACTTTGAGGGATGTCTCCACTTCTGCTAGGCAGTGCATTTAGAACTGGGCTACCTGGGTGTGACTACCCTGGATTTGCAGGGCGGGGGATCTCCCTTTCAGATAGTCAACCAGTGGAAGGCTTGTAGGGAAATCTGCCCATCTTCATCTGGGCTGACAGTGTTCAAGCAGGGAATCCTTAAACATTCATACCGAGGGAAAGACTGGAGACGGTGGAGAGTCAGTGGGAGATAGCTAGAATTGGAGGCTCCTGCTGTCCCCTCTCCCCAGGCTCGCTGGGGCGCAGCAACCACAGCTCACTCTCGGCCTCCCGCCTCTTTCCTCCCAATTTCCACTTCACCCCAGAGGAAAACCTGTGATTTTAGGTACAATCAATATATTTCCCTCATAGGCAGACACCAAGACCAACCCACAGCTGAAAGCTAGCCTATGTACCACATAAACAGCGGTAGATGGGCCCGGGGTGCTGACTGCCTGCGCACAGGCCAGGGAGAAAGTAAGGTTTGGAACTGCTCGGGACCAGTAGGGGTCCGACAGGCATTCTAATTCCCGCCCCCCAACTTCCAGAGTCCAAGAACACTGGACGTCGGAGGCTAGATGGGGTTCATCATGTGCACCAAAGCAGTCCTTGGTGCCCACCTCTAGCCTCCCGCATACCGGGCGGGCTTCGGGGACCACTGCAAAACGGTTCCAGGTAACCGCGCGCGTTCTTCCAGCTGCGTCCCGCCAGGCCGCGGGCGAAGGGCTCCCAACTCCCGGGTCGATCAACTCTTGCAGCTTGCTTCGCACACATGACGTAACCCGGTATTAGATCAAACTTTCTGGCACCTTAAACCCACTGGGGCGGGAAGTGCAGGAGGAATCCTCTCCATTGACAAGCGCGCCGGGCCCGGACTGACTCCGGGGCCGAACGATTTTCTCGCAAAGAGGAAAATAAAAACCTAAAGCTTCCGCTTCCCAGCCCCCCTCACTTCCCCTAGCCCGTGCGCTCTCTGTATGCACCGAGAAAAGAGAAGAGAAATTAAAAAAAAAAAAAAAAACTTTGGGTATGTTTGGCGGATTCCCTCCGCAGTCCCTGCGCACCCACGCTCCAGGCGAAAGCTCTCGGTGGCTCACATCGCGGGCTCTGGGCGACCAAGCCCTGCGCGGGGATTGGGATGTCGGTCAGCCTGCCAGGGTGGGAAGCGGATAAGTCCCAACTCTCTGGCTCCCGCCCTTTTCCTAGTCTCCCCATGCCCTGCAGAGGCAGTAGGTTTGGGTAGCCCCAGGGACTCCAAGGAACACCCAGGCTTTCCACTTCTTAACAAAGAGGGGCGCGATGGGAGCGCTTCCCGCCGGCGCCTCCAAGCCAACAGCGTCCGGGAGACGCAGGCTTTGAGGGTGCGCGCTGCAGGCAGCTGGTGCGCGCTGGTCCCTGCAGCCGCCGCTCCTTCCTCTGGGCCCGGAGGCCCGAGTAGCCTGGGCTCTTCGCCCCCCCGTCGCCTTACCTGGGGTTGCTGCTGTTCCAGTACACAGCGTAGCGGTCGGCGACGGCCTTGGAGCCCGGGTCCTGGCTGAACACACACATCCAGAGCACCAGAAACACCAGCGTCAACATCTCCACGTGCAACATCACGCCTGGCCAGCGGCGGAGCCCCCGACGCGCCACTCCGGGGAGAGAGCGGGGATCCGGAGGGAGGGAGGGAGGGAAGGGGACAGAAAGAGAGAGCAGGCGCCAAATAAATATGAATAAATAAAATGAAGGGGGGCGAGAAAGGAAAGAGGCGCACACCAAGCTGGGGAGGGGCAAGAGAGCGAGAAGAAAAGAAGGCGGCGAATTGCGGGCGGGGGGGTGGGGAGTAAGGGATAAAGACAAACTCGCACCCCCACTGGGGTTCGGGAGAAAAAAGGAATCACAAGATGGAGAGAAGCGTGCGTGTGTGTGGTAGCAGCGGCAAAGGCGGGGGAAGGGGTGCCAAGCTGTGTCTCGGGCGGCTGCAGGCCAGTCACCCCGGCAGAGGGAGGTGCGTGCCGGGCCTGGCGGCGGCAGCGCGATTCGGAACTGGCGGCGGCGCGCGCTGCACAGTCACCGGGAGTTGCGCGCCGTGGCCGAGGGGAGACATACACCGGCCCGCCGGGCCCAGCTCAGCGTCGGCGCCACGGGCTGCGTAAGGCTTCGCAAACGCCCGGGGCCCTTGCACTGCGACCCGCTTAGCTCCAAGTTACTTTGGCGGCGGGAGGGAAACTGCAAAAGGAGGGCGCCGTGTAGATAGGGGGCTGGACGCTTGTGGCCCCTGAAGTCTGAGAGCTTTCCCCAGCCTCCTCTGTGCCTTAGCCAGGAGACCCCTGGAAATCTCGGAGGAGTAGTTGGTACTGCGGTACCGGGCGGCTTGCCGAGAAGGGTGGGGATCTGGAGCCGCAAACCCAGCCCCGCCGGCGTCCTGGAACTGGTTAACCGGCAGCTGCGCTGGCGAGGAGCGGTCTTGCCTCGAAAACCTCAAAGAAAAGTTTGGCTCTTCGAGTCTTCCCGCAGGTCCCTAGTGGAGTCGGACTGCAGCGGCAGCGGGAGTCGGCACCCCGGGCAGTGGCCGAGTCTCAGGGATTTCTCCTGTGTGCTTTTCTTGGCCGGGTGTGGGTGCACCAAAGTGAATGAAGAGTAGAGGTTATGAACCAGCCAGCCCGGCGGAGCTGGGATTCCCAAACCTGCAAGACGACGCCAACCCAACTGTTCTGCTGGAGAGCGGGAGGGGAAACAATCACTTTCAAAAGGATCCCTCCAACTCCGGGATGGGTTGATGTCAGTCTCCGATCGCCTTCCGGGAGCGAGACTGATTCCCCACACGCGGTGCCAAGAGCCCCGGGTGAGCTCTCAGAAGTGTCCCTGTGACTCCGACGGGGCTGGCCCCAAGTCCAGCAACTTGTAGAGATACATCAATCAGTTTGAAATGGGGAAAAAAGGAAAAACAAAAAAAGAGAGAGAAAGAGAGCGCGCACGAGCGAGTGGCACCTCCCTGATGACTACATCAGAAAACCTTCCCGATCCTCCCGCAGCTGCTTCTCTTTCCCTCCTTAGGCACAGCAGCAACAAGAGGTAAAAATCAGAATCCGAATCCTAAAACCCCAACCCAGGTGGGAAAATAAATAAACTTGAGTGCAGAAGCACGAGCAGCCCTGGAGAGATTGAAACGACTGGCGAGAAGTGGAAAGGGGTAAAAGTCAGTTTTGCAAAAGAGAGGAAAAAAAAAAGAAGAAAAATGCTTTATGGGAAAAATCTCCTCGGGCACGCCCCCTCGTTAATGACCTGCGTGTAAAGCCGACAGCAGAGGCGACCCAACAGCAGCCTCACCACTGCGCGAGACCGCGCGCGTGAACGTGGACGTGGGCGAGGGGGGCTCCGCCTGGGCGTGTTGCGCGGGGCGCGGGGTTGGCAGGAGGCGCGGGAGCGGGTGTGAGCTCCGGACCGAGCAGGGGGAGGCGCAGCCAACCAGCGTTGCTGCCGCGGCCCGGATCATGTGGGCAGCCTTTTTTTCTTTCTTTCTTTCTTTTTTTTTTTTTTTCCTTCCAGTTTACTTGCGAAGGTGGGGGGTAGCCGGAGCAGCCAGTCAGGGAACAGCCTGCTGTTTGCTTACAGATCGGGATTTTTTCCTCTCTCTTTACTCCAACCGGATTGGTTTGCTCCACGAGAAAGAGGCGGTTTCCTAATCTCCCTCCCCACGCCTCTCACCCCACCCCCCACCCCACCTTCCTGAAACCTGACTAATTGAATTACTAGGAGTGCCGAAGGCGCGCTCTCCTCCGCTGGAGACCGGCAGCCACGTGTAACCCTTTGGATGCTGAATTCCGTCGGGGCTGAGGAATGATTTGACATCTTTTTACTTGGCTGTAGGGTCTTTCGATTTTAAAGCAACTGGTTCCCACTCTGTAGACAGCGAGCCGACAACTGTCACTGGGGCCCCTCAGGTGACTTGAAATCTCAGCAGACGGGCTGAAACCAACCTACTCGAATGAATGTTTTAGTAAATCTCTGCCCTGTTCACAACGCGTACATTGCCCGGCGCTGGGTTATCTGGAAATCCGAGCCTTTCTCCTAATGTCTTTCAAGCCTTCTCTCCCTATTGGAGATTTAAAGATTCCTGAGCAGGAGCAAGACTTCTCTTTAAAGTGATGATCTGGAAGCTCTTTTTTAAAAAATCGGGAAAATCTCAGTTTAAAGTGATTACAATTCAGTGCGAACCTCCAACAGGGAGGAAATGAATGCGGCAAGTGAGCGCATCAGAAATGCTTTACACCTTTTTCATTTCAATCCTGAGGCTGATTCGCTGCTCACTCCCCGTAAATAAATGACTTGAAGTAACCCGTTGCGAAAAGAGAGAGAGGGTGGAGTTGGAATGGGAAGTAGTTCCTTTTTTTTCTTCTTCTTCTTTCTTTCTTTTTTTTTTTTTTAATTGGACTTCTAGGACAGGTTGAAGCGCCTCGGTCCTCTGTCGACACCAGAGCGCAATCGCTTGGCAGCTAGGCTTTCTCGGCGCCGTGAGACGTTCCCCCCGCAGCCGTCCGGCGCCCTGGAACCTTGCCCGACGCCCGTCGCTACAGGGCCACAGGCCCGCAGGCCCGCGGAGACCTGCCCGCACCGGGTTCCGCGGGCTCGGGAAATGTTAATATTTTTCTATTGCTCTCTAGTGAGTTTGCTGCCTCGGCGGGAAGGAATGATCCCAAGAAAGAAAGCAGTTTAGTTTTGCTCCTAACCTGCCAGTTGTCCCTTTTACTTATTAGCCTAATAAAATCAAATATATTCTCCCTCCTGTGCCTTCCAGTTCTAGGGCTCGAGATTTCCAGGCGCTTTGGAGCTGTTTAGAAGCGTCCAGACGCCCTCCAGTGGTGGGCCTGTAGTCCGCACCCAGCATTAATGGTGCCGACCTATTGAGTTTGATGGAAAATCTAGGGTCTTGATCAATATAGGCTTGAGGGGAAACAATTCCCAAAGGCATATGGTTCCTTGGATATTATCGGCCTTTGCCTAAAAATTAAGTTTTTCAACTACGGAAAATTTTCATATCTGTTATCTAGAAATCATCCTAGAAATGTTAAGTGTTCTGTGACTAGATATAAATCGCAACCTGTATAATTAGGAACTCCACAACAAACCACTCTAACCAAGCAACCACCTTCATTATTTAAAGAAAATTTAAGTTCAGAATATTCACATGAATGCCTCTCTATCAGCTGCATATTTCACAATATTCCTGCTGTGAGAAAGAAGTGGGAAAACCTAAGGAAGAGACCACAGGATAATCTTCTGGCTTTTAAGACGATTTTTTCATTTAAAACATTATTTCATGTCCTCCCTGGTCTGTAATCTTGCTAATGCTCAAGTTTGAGGCCTTTCTTTTTTACTGTTGTGGATGCATGGATTTCTTTTCTTGCCTTCATGTTTTTGGTAGTAGCTCTAATAGGTGCTCATGAGACAGAAACAGTTTTGCAGAAGAGTACTGGACCCCTTTTTAAAAATGTATGTATCTTTAAGAAAAAGAGAATTCAGAACTCCTGTCTTGGGGAAAATGCTGATCCTCATGGAAGAGTCTTTTTAGAGAACTATGAGGTATCAAGGAGCTAGCAAACTGCTTTCCTGTGGCATCAAGACCTGAGGGTGAGGAAAAAAGAAATGATCACCGTGTATGTTTCCATTTGAAACATGCTATAACCAAATGTGAAAAAAAATCAACGTATCAGAACAATACGTATGTCTTAATATTTTAAATAGTTCTAATTTGTTTAAAGTCTGAATATGCCCATTTTAAACAGAAAAAAAAAGTCATACTTTGTGGTCTCCCTTAAAATGATTCAAGGGGTTGGAATAAGATTGAAATTCGCAGCTGTTCAGAACATAACTGAAATGCCTGTGTGAAATAATTCATAAGCCTAAATCAAATACCTTCTTCTGGGATTATATACCTAAATAATAATTGGTATTGGCAGCAATATATTATATACATACTTGAATAGATAACAATTTATTGAGAGGCATGAACTTCACCCTTTTTCCTAGATAATGTGACTTTGTCTCTTCAGGAAAACAGGATTTAAATCTATACAAATCAGCATTAAATAAAATGCATTATGATTAACCCAGTGTCACAGAAGCAAATGACTTTTAAGGTGGCCTTTACAGACTAAGTGATGTTTTGCCAAATATAGCAGGAAGTTCAATGTCTGACTGAAAAAGAAAAATTAGCAAGAAACTAAGTCATGGAGGAATAAAAGTGCAAGGAATGTTTGAATGCTTTAAGTTAAACAAGACTGAAGCAGTGTAGAGCTGAGACCTGAAAAATAGGTTGCTAACACTATAAAGGTCTTTACTGCCATTCTGAAAAAGATAGGATTTAAAGTTACAGGAAACCAAATGCATTGGTGGTTCTAAAATTTGAAACATTGAAGTAATAATCTACATTCCTCAAATTAAAATACCAACTGAAATTTATTCATCTGATTTTTCAACCTTTACCTAGATCAGTGTTCCAATCTTGGTTATGAATTAAAATCACTTAGGGGAACCTTTTGAAAAAGAACAATGCTGAGGACCACTCCCTATTTCAGTTGGTTAGGGTTGGGGACCTGGATCTGTGATTTTTTTTTTTAAGCTCCTTAGAGAATTCTAATGAGCACAGAGGATTGAGAACCACTGATCCAGGTAATTTATTTTTGTCTTAATTACTTCAATCTTTCAGGCAGAAGTAAATTCTGTTTTTATTTATCTGGAGAAGTGTCCCTGCTAACCAGTAAGGAGGGATGTTGCTACTTTAGAGAACTAATTTTCATGATCCTCTCTATTAAAATGAATGATACTTTTAAATCGTTTTCTATGTCACACAATCATTTATAAGAGCCATCTTGAATATGAGATTGCAGAACATAGCTTACTTGTAAATATAGTTTAATCATTCTTTTGAACTAGTGTTTTATTTGAATTAGCTATCACCAAATAGAAGTAGAGTTCTATTGGGTCAAGTATCTAAGCAAATAAATGAAATGAGCCAGTGAATCAAACCCCACAGTCCACAGACCAATTCCTAATATAGCAAAATGAAGTGCACCTAGATATTCAGAAGTCAGACTAGAAATTGTATCCAGAAGAGATAAGAAAGGAGGTAAACTCTAGAGCAAACATTAAAGAAATAATAATTAAACACAAAACTTTCTAAGAGATGATTAACGAGATGATATTTAAGCCAACCCTACTATTTTCCTAGAATTTTAGTATTCATTCTGAAGCCCAAAGAAGCCCAGGTTCCATCACCAAACTCTCACTCAACTGCCCTGCCCACAGATTGTTTGAAGTTACTAGTGAAGCCTTTTCTGCTATTCACCCCCTTTGGAACAAGTTTCTCAGAATGTTTAGAAATAAATTTGCTAGCCTTTCTCTCCTAAGAGACTTTAAAACACTATTTTTCTATCTGATCTAGCTGTCTCCTCTGTGTGCAACCTAACAGAAAAAAAAAAAAAAATCTGCAAAATGGAGTACTACATCTCCACTTTCAATCATGTGCTCTTCAACTTCCATCATGAATTTCCCACTTTTCCTCATTCCTTACTGTCTTGGGGCCTGCTGAGCCTTTATTTCACAGCATCCTTTCTCTTAAAGTCTATAGATAAACAGAAGCAGCTTAGCAAGTTGCTGCAGTATTCTGAAAGAGGCAATTTAAAAATGTCTTCACTTATGACTAGCAGTCTATGTGTTGTTCTTTTGCTCACTTCAAAACATACTTTAAATAAGAACAACATAGCAAACTCTTTAAACATATGATAAGCAGTCATTTTGATAAATACCTAAATCATATAATTAGGTAAATATGTAAACATGTTTTTATGTATTACAAATGTATATGCTCGTATGTAATTCTAAAAGAAGCAAACAAGGGCTTGTTGGCTTAATCAATTTCCCTGTCACTCTTCATTGTCTAGATTTCAGTATATATACCATAGAGTTACATGATTAGTTTTCAACCATAAAGCTAAAATTGATAAATGTTTTATTTCCATAGCAATTTTCATGTCCTCTTTTACTAGTTGAACTTATATGTATTTTTTACTGATTTATATTTCCCTCTTCAATTTTTTAAATAAAAATTATAAAAAATTATCTGAATTTTAACAAATCTAATAAATCAATTAGCATAAAATATACTATCCTAAAATATTATTTTGAATTCTTTACTTAAAATGATACATATTACCATGAATGTTTATAATTTAAAAAAGAAGTTTGAATTTATATTTTATAATTATACATATCTACAGCATACCTTTATAAAGTAAAAATAATATAAATAGCTGTTAATTTGTGCTTTATTTCCACATTCAAACTAATAATTACAATATATACTCCTGCCAGCTCCATCTACCATCTCTCAAAACAGCATATAAGTATCTATTTTTATATTCTTTTATTTGCTTAGCAACCGCCAAAAGTTAATATATACATTATGTATATGTATGTGTGTATGTGTGTATATATATATGTGTGAATATATATAT